TAGGAAATGATACATGAAATAGGTTCAGAGTTTAACGCAGAATTTGAAAATGAAATAAAAAATTGGTGTTTTCATTTAAAAAAATTAAGTTAGCTGTCATAACTTATTTTTGAGTCACCCTGTATACATGGTATTTTCATGAAAAAAACGGCCACTAAAATCAAAAATTGACGTGTCCGAGGTTTTTTGAAAAATATCCACCCTGTATATTTTATAGATTTTATTCAAACCTTCACGTGCTCACTGTATACTAAACTTAGCGGCAGATGAAGTGGGACACCCGAAAAATTGCCTAATTTTGACTTGCTATAACTTCGACATTTCTTTGCCGATCTTGGATTATCAGGCAGGGTTACAAAGCGCCATCTTTGGTCTATGCGCCAGTGTCGTCGTACATTTTTTTTTTAATTACTTCTCGTTATAGAGGGTGTGAATGTAAGGCGGCGAAAAATTTCCATTTTTTGGCGAAGAATATGGGAAAGATGGAGGGTCCAATAAAGTTCTTTCTAGTGGTGACTTGATCACTAGGTCAACACCTCCAGACGTCTTTGCCATTTTTTCGATACATTGCGTTGCTATGGAAATATGGCCATTTTATGGTATTTCGTTTTACTCTTGAAATTAGCGATTCTTTAATTAAACAATAACAGATTCCGTTTAAATTGCATCATGGAATGACTTGATAGAAAATGGTCAACACCAGTGGCGTGCAAAAGGGAATTTATGAAATTAAAATAAAAAAAAAATCGATTTACTTGAAAATTTTAACGGGTTTGTTGAGCGTTACGGTTAAAAAGGTGTTATAAATAACTGTGATGAGTTTGATTTTGATATTTAGAAGCGTTTAGAGAAACAAAAAAAAAAAAACAGTATTTTTCATGTTATTTAATGTTAACGTGTGAACAGACCTGTCAACGGTACTGCTGCTCACCGACACGGTGGAAAATCTCAAAAAAGAACAAATCCTCGTCAGGATCGGCTAGTAGTACGTACTGCAATTGAAAATAGAGTTTGGACTGTCAAGAGAATCCTAACGCATCTGCAGTTGAATGTTTCAGCAGACACCATAGAAGACGCCTATGACCAGGGATTAAATTCTCCCGTCGGGCAAAGTGTCCACTTTTTACAAACAGTCACCGGGAGAACTGAAAAAAATAGGCCCAGGAACACTCGAATTGGGATTTTAGGTGAAAAGCCTGTCTTTTCGTTGATGTATGCCGTTTTAACTTCTACAATTCTGACGGTCGATTGCTAACCTGGCGGAGATGGGGAGAACCTTTTTTAGAAGAAAACATGCTTCCCCAAGTTGCATTTGGCGGTGAAGGATTGACAGTTTGGGTCGGTATCTAACACATCGGAAGAACAGAACTCGTCAAGGCCAATAAATGTCAGATTCCGCAAGTTCTCCGGCATGCTCGAAATTATGGCGGGGGTTTTGTTCTTGTAGACTCATCGAGCATTATTAGTGAACCGGTATCTGCAAGGGCAAAAGTTTAATCGTACCGAATTGCCTCCTAGATCCTCAGACATGAATCCAATTGAGCACCACTGGAGCTGAATGAAGTTAGAGCTTTCCCGGGGAGAACGTCAGCCAGAAGCTTTAGACGGTCTCGAGGAGATGATTCTGGAGCTCTGGGAGTCAGTTACCATATAGAGCTAATTAACCGAATAATTTCGAGCGTGCCAAGGCGGTGTCACGCAGTTATTCAGGATAGAGGAGAACCAAAATGACATATCAGAGTTTTTTTATAACACCTTTTACACCCATATGCACCGTATGGACTTGGGAGTTTATTCTCGCTTAGTTCGAAAATTTGCATATAAAAGAGAAGTCCTAACCTGGTTTCAGCAACTAACCTGAATTGAGTCCTTAATCCTTATGGTGCATTTGGGCGTTAATTTTTGAAGCTTAACAAAACTTAAAAATTTCAAGAGAAAAACGAAATACCATAAAATGGCCATATTTCCATAGCAACGCGATGCATCGAAAAAATGGCAAAGACGTCTCGAGGTGTTGACCTAGTGATAGAGTCACCACTAGAAAAAACTTTATTGGACCCTCCATCTTTCCCATATTCTTCGCCAAAAAATGGAAATTTTTCGCCGCCGTACATTCACACCCTGTATAACGAGAAGGAATTAAAAAAAAAAATGTACGACGACACTGACGCATAGACCAAAGATGGCGCTTTGTAACCCTGCCTGATAATGCAAGATCGGCAAAGAAATGTCGAAGTTATAGCAAGTCAAAATTAGGCAATTTTTCGGCTGTCCCACTTCATCTGCCGCTTAGTTTATTATGAACGCCAAAAAATAAATTTCAATTAAGTCTGAGTTCGGTTCGATTAAGTTAAGAAACACCAGTTCTAAGTCTTGCGCACATCGCTCTTACGTGGGGTTGCCAGGCGCATAAAACCAAGGAAATTAACCGACTCTAAGAGACAATTAATACTGATCTTTCAGGGAAAACGTCATGTGTTGGATCTTCTCGGCAATAAGTAAAAGGCGATTTGAGATTTACCAGGACTCTACCACCTCACATCCTTTTGATAGTTCTTCCTTAGCTTCCTGTTCCATTTCCCCTGTTACATCAATGGATAAGATAAGACTCTTTATTCGATCAAATACATTTTTCACCCATAGGGTGTCGATCATGTCAATAAATAAAATAAAATAATTTGAAAAATAAATAAATACAGTACAATACAATACATACTTTTAAATTAAACCAAAAAACCCACAAAATTTTTAATTTGTCAGAACACTACTAACAATAAACCGTCAAGTAAAGCTTAAGCTGAAACAAAATATAGGAAACTAAGAGTTTCTTTTCCACAATCATTTTATTTTCAAATAATCGATAATCGATTAATCGATTATTTTCGATTAATCGATTATTTTCGATTAATCGATTATTTTCGATTAATCGATTATTTTCGATTAATCGATTATTTTCGATTAATCGATTATTTTCGATTAATCGATTATTTTCGATTAATCGATTATTTTCGATAATCGATTATTTTAGATTATTCGATTATTTTCGATTAATCGATTATTTTCGATTATTCGATTATTTTCGATTAATCGATTATTTTCGATTATTCGGTTATTTTCGATTGATCAATTATTTACGATTAATCTATTATTTTTGAGATAATTTTATGTTTTGTTTTTGTTTGCATATCTAAGGCCCGGTTTATTCACCTTCTGATAAACTGTTAGGTATGCAATTTCGCGGATAATAACGCAATCTGTAATCCCATTGGTCGGCCAGTTATTGGTCGGCCCTTGGTCGACCGAGACAATAATTATAGAAGGGTAAATTGATCTTGCTAATAGTTGTCAACCAGCAAGTCTATCTGAAGATGAATAAACCGGGCCTCAAACTCCAAAGTAACCAGAGAGTTTATTTCAAAACAAGCCGGTTAAGGGCAAGTGAATTTCTTTTACTTCATGAAACCCAAGAAAAAAATCTACCGATTATTGTGAAATAAGCGAATAATCAAAAATAATCGAATAATCAAAAATAATCGATAGAACGAAAATAAACGATTTATCAAGAAAAATTATCGATTAATCGAAAATAATCGATTATTTTCGATTAACCGATTACTTTCGATTATTTTCGATCAATCGATTATTTTCGATTAATCGATTATTTTCGATTAATCGATTATTTTCGATTAATCGATTATTTTCGATTAATCGATTATTTTCGATTAATCGATTATTTTCGATTAATCGATTATTTTCGATTATTTTTAATAATCGATAATCGATTATTTATTTTGATAATCGCCCAGCCCTAGTTGTAGCACATAAGGGGTCAGTGCTAGTACCTTATTCTTATTGTTGTTATTGTTACTAGATAATTGAATTTTTTGCGATTTTATCTATTTCCCTAAAATTTTTGACCTGATCATCAGAAACGAATTCCTCCAAACTATAGTAGGCTTTAGAGCTAAAGAAAATGTTGAGTGTTTGCTTGATCCTCCTGTGGCTGTTGTTTCCGGAAGACAGGGGGAACGGCATTCCATATTTTCAGAATACTATGTTTAACGTCTTTTGAGATGTACGAATAAGCAGTTTCTGTTTTCAAATTTTCTTTAAACCGAGTATGTATTATGTTATGGCTGTGATCTGATTTCAACTTTCCAAAAATATGTGTTGCTTTGTGCATTCAATAATATAAATGTTGAAAATTGTCGGAAGATTGAACTTTGTTGACCAGTTAGAAACAACTACTCCGAGGGCAAATACCCCAACCCAAGACCCCAACCGGCTTTGAATCACACTGATTGGTCCGAGCTTTCGTTGGCATGAAAATTGTTTACATTTTCCTTATTCAATATGGCGTGGCGGCCAGCAAGTTTAATTTGAATATGTTTTTTCATGTATATTTTAATTATTTGGCTTCCAGCTTTGCTTGCAGCTTTGATTTTGATTATTCAATAAATTATTTGCTTACTAGGTACGTAAACTGTTAAGTCGGGCAGAAACTAGACATTTTTTTGTGTTTTTTGATCCATGTGTGGCCGCCACGCCATCTTGAATGTCACGTGGTTTGAATTGCCTAATAGTCAATCTAGCACAAGTGACTGAAATTTTGCACAAAAATACTCTTCAGGGCTTTCTTCGTCTCTTGAGGTTTACCTAAGTACTAATGTAGCTACTTTGTTTCAAATTTCATTTTATTTGATCTTCAAATAGAATCATTCTGATAAAAATATTCCTATTGTCAGTCAATCTTCATACAAATACTCAAAATTAAAAAAAAAAAAAAACATAGTGTGACCCATTTACCTAAGCTAACAAATTGTTTATCAGTTTTATAGTCCACTTAAAAGGCTGATAAATTTACGTTTTCCATAATTCTATTCTGTATCGCTCTTATGCAGTGAACATTAAACTAAAAATGGAAAACCCTGAATCATCCGCATCAGGGTACTCGTAAGTTTTGTTTTTTTATTTTATAATTGAACGCCATTAATTTGTAGACAATATGGAACGGCATTCACCGCAGGCCTCACTCTATTCTCGTCCAAATCGCCAATCGACACAAAAGCTTTCATGGCACTACCCATAACACCATTGGAACGTTTAGAACAAAATCCGGACGACATGAAAACGAGAATGGAACTAATGATTATGAAAGTACAAAGTGAATTTTGCAAGGCCTTGGAAAACGAAGACACTGTCAAGTTTAAAGTGGACCGATGGGAACGTTCAGAGGGTGGCGGTGGTGTTACTTGCGTTTTACAAAATGGAAAAGTAAGAACAGGCGTTTAATTTTCAATTGATAGTAATTAGATTTGTTTATTAGATTTTTGAGAAAGCTGGTGTCAATATATCAGTAGTTCATGGTGAGCTTTCACCAAGTGCAGTAGCTCAAATGCGTTCAAGAGGAAAAAAGCTTGAAGAAGGAACATTACCATTTTTTGCTGCTGGTATAAGTGCTGTGATACATCCTGTTAACCCAATGGTTCCTACCATTCATTTCAATTACAGATATTTTGAGGTAAATAATAATACTATATCAAATTACATAATTTATTTCTATAAAATTCCTAGGTTCAAAGTGGTAACGAAGCTCAGTGGTGGTTCGGAGGTGGCACGGATCTTACCCCTTACTATCTGAACACAGCAGATTGTATACACTTCCATACAACATTAAAAAACGCTTGCGACAAACACGACAAATCGTATTATCCTAAATTCAAAAAATGGTGCGACAATTATTTCAATATTGCACATAGAGGAGAAAGGCGTGGTGTAGGCGGCATATTTTTTGATGATTTAGACGAACCAAATAGCGAGGAATGTTTTAAATTTGTTAGCGATTGTGCTAATGCAGTTATTCCATCTTATGTTCCTTTAGGTAAAATTTTTATTGGAGATTTAGTTTTAGATGAATACAACAATATTTTTTAGTCCAAAGACACAAGCTTGCCAGTTACACTAAAGTGGAACGTGAATGGCAATTATTGAGAAGAGGTCGATATGTTGAATTTAATCTTATTTATGACAGAGGGACTAAGTTTGGATTGTACACTCCAGGAGCCCGATTTGAAAGTATTTTAATGTCTTTGCCATTATATGCGGTTAGTATTACCTACTGGTAAAATTTGATGGGAATTGATTGAAATACTTTTTTATAGAAATGGGAATACATGAACATACCAACAGCAGAATCCCCTGAAGGTATTTTAATAGAAGTTTTGAAAAATCCTAGAGATTGGGTTGATCCTGCAACAGTTGAAACTGAACACAAGAACCAAGAACTTAGAAATGAAGTTTAATTTTTTGTAAACTTGGTATCACTCAACTACATATTTAAGAAATAAGTTGTTGCAATTGTCATGGATTTTATACAATGTTTAAATAAAACAAAGTTTGTTACAATAAAATGATCATTTATTTTTTACCCTTAAGTAACATTAATGCTAATTCTTCTGTTTCGTTCACATTAAGATCTGCACTTAGCTGTTCTATTCTTTGTTTCTTCTTTCTCTTCAACACTGTCTCTAGATTATCTGGGACTTTGTGTTTTCGTTTCTTTGCCCTGAAAAAAAAAATAACAGTTATGCCGCATTTCAAAATTGTTCCACTCACTTTTTATCTTTCTTTGTTTCATCTTCTGTTTTCTGGGATTTGGGAGCTTCTGTGTAAAACTCTTCCTCACTATCATCTTTATTGCCATATATTTTATCTGGATCGGGCATCCAGGATAAATCAGGACCTTTAAAACAACCATTTAATATATGTTTATAAATGATGTTAAAAAAAAAATTATTCACCTTCATCATCAGAGCTTTCACCAAAATCATCTCGCTCTGCTTCTTCTTGCTCCTTCTTGAGTGCTTTCAGTTTTCGTTTTTCCTCTTTATGTTTAGCTTTGACTTTTTCTTTAAACATTTGCTTATCGAATTTATCTTCTTCTCTCAAAACCAACTTGGACTTTTCAATATCTGGAATTTAATATTAGCTCAGCGCTTAGTATTAATATTTTTTAAAAATATTTCTTACCGATTCCTCCTTCATCTTCGTTTTCATACTCCCTGGCTAAATCAGACTTCTTTTCCTTGGTACCTTGTATAACAGCCGTTCCTTCGTCGTCGAAAACAATTTTTTTGTTTGCCACAATTTTCTTTTTTAACATTTGCTTTACTACAGCTGCTTTCGTAACGGGTTTTTTCTTCTTGTTACGACCTGTGAAGAAGATACTTTGCATTAAGTATGTATATCTAAATAATTTCTTTTGGATGGATGAAAACTTTGGTGGGCTATTATGAAATTTATGCTAAATTCAGGAATAGTCCCCATCCCACTTTGGGACGTTTCTATAGACGTCCCACCCCATGGATAGATGTGAGTTCTCATTGTAAAAATAAAGTGCGTAGATAATTCGATTAACCTTGATTAAAGCCTAATTATGTTAAGATATGATTGAAATTAAAAAAAATCTAAATATCCTTATGCTCGCTCAGCTTGATATAAGTCGAAGTCAACAGACTTTGAAGCTTCACACTGTGAAACCATTGAAGCTGCATTGAAACTATGGACTAGAGATTTGCAGATGATTTAATTTATTGGCCTTGATATAAAAATAAAGAGGGACTTTCATTTGAAAAAATTGAGTTACATATGGCATCTTAAAAACGGTAAACTTGGCAACATTGCAAATATCACCATTGAATAGAGCATTCCCAAAAACTCTTATATAATATATTACCTACTACCGAGCCTACTACATAGTGGTTTGTTTTCTATTGAACACCCAGAGGGCAGATATGTTTCTTAATAGTTTCTTGCACATTTTATTTTATTCATTTAAATTAATGTGGTTATATTATATTAACTACTCGAATAATCACCATGATAGCCCTACACATGATATGCCTTCATCTATAATTCATTGATCTCATTGTTTCACAGTTACTTGTCCAGTAGGAAGCCGGTTTCATTTATTTATTTACGGGATAACTGCATTAGGAAAAAGTATTTTAGTTATAAAATCTCAAGGATTTATAGAAAAGAAGATGCAAAGGAGACACTAGAGTACCTACAAATTCATTTTTTCAATAGGAAATTAGCTATGCCGTCTGGGCCTAAAGATAACTTATTCGGACCTGTGAGATTTCCTCAAAGATGTCAATCATTGAGATAGATGTGCAATTAATATTATCATGTAGGGCAGGTTCATGTTTCCAGTTACATCATAAGAAAAATCAGCCGGATCATGATAAACAGTGTGAACTGCCTGAAAAATATCTTTAAATAATTTGCAATTTCTTGACCACTGTAGCCTTACGATTGGAATAGGATAGGAATAAAATAATGAACTAGGTAGATTATGACTAGATCGTTTGCCCTTTATGTATTTCCACAAGGATTTGGGATCTTCTATCAATTTTGCATCTAGACCTCTGATATAGTTATTAACATAGACATGTTATTAAAACAAATATCTGAGAGTGCCTCGCACTAGGAACGTAACTGAGCAAAACTTATATTGGAGCGCTCTTCTTTGTAAACAGAATGCAGGGCCCCCACTACCATAAGCGCAAAGGCGTGCGACGCACGCGGGCGGCATAGCTAAGGGGCGGCAAATCGCACGAGAGAAAAATATATACAATATACAAAAAAAATTGTAATATAAATTATTAATTAAATTTTTTTCCTAAAGTGTTTCAATTATTTTTGTCTTTATTCAAAGGCCAGGCGCTTATCTAAGAACTGGGAACAAGTGCCGTGTCCTACTCCGTTCCATGTAAAATCTCATGTGAGTCAGACAAAGAATGAAAATTAATAAAACCGTGTACTGCGCTCTCGTGCGTATCGAGCGAGAATTAGGCTCCAGGGTCCTTATTCTTGAAACAGGGGAGCAAAGTTCCAAGAGAACGAGTGTCCCATCTTTGCTACTTATATTATCATTTGCATATCATTGAGAAAGACGGAACACTCGTTTTCCTGGGAACGTTGCTCCCTTGTTTTAAGAATAAGGACCTAGGTCGCCTCTTAGCTTCGTACAGCCAATGGGTCAATTTTTCTGTTAAATGTTCCTTTTGGTTCTTGCAAAATTACTCTAGACTATTATGATTTATGTAGTTATTAAAAAACATGACAACCTACGCAATTGACTCAATGCCACTCCAAAAATCTTTGCGCTTTTTTATTCGCCAACCCTAACTAAGGGGCGCCAAAATATGAAATCGCACGCGGGCGGCTTCAGGTCTGGCGTGGGCCCTGACAGAATGTGCAAGTTTTTTCTCCAATGTCAACTTAAATCAGCAGAAAACCGATTTTGAACACAAGGATGTTCGATACTTTTTCACCGGGATATAGTAGGCAATGCGAGACACATAGAATTTCACAAAATAGATTGGCTGCCTCATTGACCAACCACAATATTTTCTAGACATTCAACCCAATTTATTGATTCTAAATAGTTATTTAATTCTAAGTAGTTACCATTCCTGAAATCATAATCAAATTCATTGTAAACTAAATAGTTAGTTTTTGATTTTCTAGAAAGCATTATAGAAAATTCATAACTTATAGGATCACTAGCCCTAAGTACTTACATTACAGACATTGACATTAGAAAAAATTAGGTCCAAAAAAACATTTCTTTCATTAGGGACTTTAGGTATAGTATTGATAGTATCGTGTTGAAATAAAATTATTTATGATATCCAAAAGACAAAGCTACCTCCAAAGCTGGATCACCACATGGACACTGCACTACTGTCCCACACTGAATCACACCATTATCTGACTCGCAGTGTGTTATATAAAATTCACGAGCTAATGAAAACTTTGAACCATCAACTTGACACAAAAAAAACTGTTCAACCCGAGGTTCAACCCTGTCTTCTGTTATGTTTATGGATTGAGCTTTGATTTCGTTATGAACCATTATCTGGACACCTTCCCCACTAACTTTCTGACTAGTTCTATAGTTTCTGTCGCAACGAAAGATAGGTACTGAAATCTTTGCATTTTATTTCACTATCAGAAAAATCCATATTTACATTGCTTTCACCCATTACAGCACTCCACTGTCTTCATAAGCTCATGCAACTTGGTACGTACACCTCCTACATTTTGGAAATATACTCTTAATGGGGTGTTTCTGTTTTTTTTTGCTGCTCAATGTAAACTGTACACCATTACGGCACCTAATGATAAGGTTCTCTTCAGAGTTTCCTTCGCTTTCTTATAAGTTTCTTGTTGCATAGGTGTTTGATCGCAAGATATTTTGTACATTGATTCACACAATTTTCTGCCTGATTCTTAAAATTGGTGCCAGATTGCTCTCATCTTGGGACACTCCTTTTCATTGTCTTTATCAATGATATTCACGAATGCTTTACCATATGTATTTTCTTGTTGTTTGCCGATGACCGATATATTATATTCAAACCTCCTGAAAACTGTGGCAAACTACAGTAGGATCTTAACAACCTGCAAGACTGATGCAATAGAAATTTCATGGATCTCAATCCTTCTAAATGTAAAGCCATTACTTTTTCGCATGTTAAACACCTATTAGATTTAATTATAAAATTGGTCAACACACCCTTGAGGAGGTTTCCATTATCAAAGACCTTAGTGTATCACTAGACACAAATCTCCATTTTTTTCAATCACTTAAGTAATACAATAAATAAAGCTTTCCTAATGCTGGGTTTTATCAGAAGGACAACCCAAGATTTCACCAATATTACTGCTTTAAAAACTTTATATTGCACCCTGGTCCGCCCTTATCTACAGTACAGTATGCCACTTGCGTCTGGTCTCCTTTTTAGGGTGTACACAGGGACTCTTTTCAACTGGTTAAACAAAATTTTTAACAAATAGCTTAAAAACTAAACATTTTGGATAATTATTACGACACCCCACTATTCTCTATGGCCTCGATAACTATGCATCATAAGAGGAGAGACCTCACAAACTTCTATACTATTCTAAATGGGAAGGCTTTGACTCCTGAAATTCTTCATAATAGCATTCTTGTCACTCCTAGAACTACCAGATCGACTGGCAGTTTTCATGTCCCGACTCATCGTACTAATTATGAACTTGATACCTTTATCTCCAGAACAGCTAGACTCGCAAACGAGCACCACAAGATTGACCTTTTGATTGCATTAACCAAAATAGTAAGTAAAGGTTTTTGGAAATTTGTAAAGAAAAATAATAATTCTTTTGATATTCCTAAAACCACGTTTTACAGAACTGAATCTTCTGATGATGGAAATATTACTGTAAACTATTTTAGTGACTTTTTCTCAACTGTTTATGGTGATAATAATTGTGATACTTATAATTTTAATGTAGTTAGGTCGTTATCTATAAGTACTTTTGATTTTATTGAAATTGATGTCTACAATGCAATTCTTAGCCTAAAAGACCATTTATCTGTTGGGCCTGATAACATATCTGTGATATTTATGAAAAATTGCGCATGTATTTGGAGCTTTATTTCAAACATTATTTTTACTAAGTAAATGTTAACTGCTATCTATCCAGATGTCTGGAAATAGTTATTTTCCTAACAAGTGCGCGAAGTGATACTTTCCCGCACGAAAAAGCAGTTAGACGAACGACGCGAAGCGGAGTTTGGATAAGCTTTGAGTGCGGGAAAGACACTTTGCGCAAGTGTTAGGAACAATATTTTTTCTTCGAGTATCTTAAAAAAGTAGACTTTGAATTAATTGTTAAAATATTAGAAAAACCAATCAAATCAAAATCTTCAAAAATCCTTTAAAATCTATTGGAATTCCTCAGAATGTCTTTTAAATTAAATCCCCAAATATCTTTTTACATCTTATGGAATTTCTAGAATCAGCAAGAATATTTTCATGAGAGTCTCTAAAATATCAAAAGTTTTACAAATTCCTAGCAGTATAGGCTGGTCCAATTTGAACACCTTTGATAGGACATATCATGTTAACTAAGCATTAATTTCAACTAAAACCCTTCATTTTGAATATTAGTTTATTCAGAAACCATCAAAACATTGAAAAATCAAGTATAACTATGGTAATTATACGTAACAAAAATGAGTGCGCAAAGAGTTTCCGTGCGCAAGGTTCAACTTTGCGCACGCAAATGAGTGTGCAAAGTGATTACTTTGCGCACGCAAGTAGAAAAAAGTCATTTGTAACTCCTATATTTAGCAGTGGAGAAAAAAGTGATGTTACAAACTACAGAGCAATTAGCAAAATGTCTTTAATAGCAAAAGTTTCTGAGATAATTATAGATTCTAAAATCAAGACTGCACTACAATCAATTTTCCACCGCGAGTGAGTTGCTTGCTTATGAACTTTTTTTGAATAGTTCTCTTGAGGGCGGCAACCAGGTGGATGCCATCTACACAGACTTTTCAAAAGCTTTCGACAAGGTTAGCCACACTCTGCTTTTGGGAAAGCTTGAGAGGTATGGTGGGTTTGGCAGTCTCCTGCAATGGTTTCATAGTTATATGACCAACAGAAAACAACAGGTAAAAATAGGCAATTTTGTTTCTGAAGAGATATTGGTCCCCTCTGGTGTTCTGCAAGCGCAAGGTTCACATTTGGGTCCACTTTTATTTAATATGTTCTTGAGATATTCCAAATTCGTTTGTATGCAGACGACCTAAAGATTTTCAGAGTTATTGAAAATCCAAGAAGACTTAAATGCTTTGTGTGACTGATGCAATACCTACAAATTGTATGACATCAAATGTCGATAAATGTTTTTTCTACTCGTGTGCGCAAAGTTATTACTTTGCACACTCATTTGCGTGCGCAAAGTTGAACTTTGCGCACGGAAACTCTTTGCGCACTCGTTTTTGTTACGCATAGTTACCGCTCTTATACTCGATTTTTCAATGTTTTGTGGGTTTCTGGATAAACTTATATTCAGAAAGAAGAACCTGATGTTATTTTTGTTCCAAGAAAGCCATTCTTCAGGTGATGTTTAGCTTTTTTAATTTGACACTTTCATAATGAGGAGCGAAGGCAGAAAAAATCCAGCAAAAACAGATGTAAGCTCAGGTGACCATTGGCATAGAGAGCCACCAACTCACATTCCTCTGGAGTATCAGATTATAAAAGACGACTGTAAGTTGTACTCCTTCCATAATAAAATTTGGCAGGAAAACTTAACGACTTGTTCAAATTTTAAGTAAACCTCGCTAGCACAACCAATGTTGCAAATAAAGTCAAGCTGATCACTGGAAAAAAAATTGAAAACCCATCACATTGAACTAGGAGATAAAATCACCTATTTTGAGCATCTGGAAACATTTAAGAAGATTAGGTACAGCTCCACTGGATGCAAATCTTCAAACACTTGTAGAAAAAGTATTGTTCCTAACACTTGCGCAAAGTGTCTTTCCCGCACTCAAAGCTTATCCGAACTCCGCTTCGCGTCGTTCGTCTAACTGCTTTTTCGTGCGGGAAAGTATCACTTCGCGCACTTGTTAAGAAAATAACTATTATCTACAAGCGTTTCGTTAAGACGTTTTTACATAACCATTTTTCTGGTATTTGAGTTATGTCATGAGACTCATAACATAACTATACTTTATTTTTTTCCAAGATAGATTTTGACATTGTCAACTTTGAAACATAAACAATGCCGCTAATGACACTTATTGGCCGCTATTGTAAAACTGATGTCAACCTGCAGAAACACCTCATTTTGCGACCAATCAGAGTCAAGCCTTATTGTTTATTTTTCAAAGTTTTCAATGTCAAAATCTATCTTGGGAAAAAATAAAGTATAGTTGTGTTATAGCCTAGGTTATGAATTCATAACACAACTAGTGGTGTTATGGACTAGGTTATGAATCTATGACACAACTATTTTTGGTGATTTGACAAATGTCAAAGGTAAACCTGTAAAGATAAAATGAAGGTAGACAACTACTAATACACGGAACTAATGGAAAAAACATTCTTATTTTTCGCTTTGCAGATAAAACGATTTACATCACACGTGCGTTTAAACATGACTACAAAACTCGTGTGATTAGGACGACTCGGTCTACGACCTCGTCGTTCTAATCTTTCACACTCGATATTGTAATCATGTTCATAAACGCACTTGTAATGTAAATAACTATTATTTTAAGGTTTTACAGGTTAAGAAATATTATTGAATTCGATTATTCCCTAGATAATACTTTGCATTAAAGTAGAGAAGAGCTAAGAGACCTAGGTTTAGAACTCTATTTTGCTCTTACATAAGACATAAGGTCAGTTTTGGAATATGCTTGCCAGGGCCTGGATTTTGAACCCATGATTCGATAGTATCGTCTATGTAATTTATATGGACGATACTATCGTGGAATCGTGTTTGGTCTCCTTACTATAGTCAGTATGTTCAACAGATTGAAAAAGTGCAAAAGAGGTTTGTGAAATTTGTTGGGTTTAAATTGGGTATACCAAATGAGGATATTGTAAGTATGTGAAGAAATACTTCACTCCCTTAATCTCACAACTCTCAGCAATGGGATAAAATATATTGATATGAGAACCCTACATAGAATCTTAACCCATAACTGGTGAGGTAGGGTTTCTCAAACCCCACAGATTTCAAGAATCTTTACCACTTATTAACTAATGGTTGAAGGCCTGCTACCGCCTGTGTAGCTTTCGGTCCGTTGTCCGTCAGTACCCAAGGTGTCGACAACGCGCGATATTTTACTTGGTGTACGATATTACGATTTTTGTACAAAATTGGGGTTTGCGTAACCCCACCTCACTGTGAGTCGTTTGGGTTTGTTTGGGTTAATTGCTCTCTAAAAAGTTTATTTGAAATACAATTTTGTTAAAGCTTTGTTCCTTGAATATTTTTCAAAGATTTTTAGACACTTTTCCGCCATTTTGTATTTTTTATGCTACACTTTCAGTTTGATTACTTCCAGCAATTGGAAATAAGTTTTGATGTGTGTTTTGTGCAGTCCCACAGTAAAATTGAATTATTCCTAAAATATATCTTTTCTTTTTGTTGAAAGTATGTACCTACACATTCCAAAAGGACAAATGTTACCCAAAAGTGAATAACATACACGTTTTTTTATTTTGAAATAGTAGAATCGCCTTTTTGATTTGGGGTTTAGCAAACCCCACCTCACCGGTTATGTAACAAAAAAATGACCTCACAGTTACGGGTTAAATGGATACATAGACTGTCCAGAATTGCTATCTTTGATAGAGAGATAGTGCTGAGAGGGGTAGACCTGTTTAACGTTCCATTTCATAGAACAAATTATGGTTTATCTTCACCTCTGACACGTTTTTCAGATAATGCAAATAAATTGCTTGCACATGTTGATGTAGACATCTTTAATGATTCTTCAAGTGTGTTTGGCTCAAAAATAAAAAATATCCTGTGATCGAGCCTGCGAGATATACTTAAACTAATTTTATCGAATTTTATTCTTCTAACTTGTATTTATTTATTTTTTTCATAACTTTAATTTTAAGTAATCTGTGTTAGTGTGATGTTGAGGACTGTAACCATTTTTCACTGATTTAACTGATATGTCTATATGCTATATGGGGTACGACTATTGTATTTTTGGTGCCTATTTTTAGTATTAGTCTAATTTCTTTGAATGGCTGGTGCGGTAATAAACATTTATGTATTTATTTATTTTTGCTCCTTTAAACATTTTCCTTAAGTCAAGTTCGTCATACTTTTAGTTACTTTTGTTTATGATTGGATGTGATTTTTACTTATTTTCACTATTCCTATCTATCCTACTGTAACTTCACTCATGTTTTCTCATGAAACTGTATTTGTTATTACTTATTGCTATTGATTCTTAAGTAGTTAATTTTATTTTATTATTGTTATCTTTGTTTATTATTTTGATCTAGTTATTACCAACTATTCTCAACTTACTGTGAATTGAGAGTTTAACATTTTGTAAGTGAACTCGCTCATTGATAAATAATTGAATAAAAAATTATGATTTTACTCACCTCCAGACAAGTCCATATTTTCAATATTAGCCGGCACTTCAATATCATGATCTACTCTTTTGTATTGTAACATATCCTCCTCGTCTTCACTGTCAGAAAAATTAAAATTTTCATTTGCAGCTTTTTCAAGCTTTACTTTTATCTTATTGGGTTTTATGGTAGAAACTTCTTCATCAGAATCGAGGACGCCACTGTCTTCAGACGATTCTTTTGCTTTGTGTTCTTGAAGTTTTTTAATTTCTTCTGTTACATTATTTTCACCATCTTCTTCACTTTGCTCATTAGTTTCAGTTTCATTGTCAAAATATTTTTTGTTATCATTCTGTCGGCCTAAGTCTTTCTTTTCTGGCACTTTATTATTTTTATTTTCCAAGTACTTCTGCTTTAACTTCATCCTATCTAAAAATCTTATTCTTGGGGGCACGGCCAACCCCAAACTTTTTGAAAAGGCATCAAAGTCTAAAGCTTGAACATTAAAGATGTCTTTGTGTTTCATAAAAAAAATGGCTTTTGCGTAAATACTCACAGCCCTTTGGGCCGTGTCTTTTAGCGTAGGATCTTTAGCCATGTAAGCTTCCATTTTCCTAACAGGATTTTGTAATTTTGTTGGGTTAATCTCAATTTTTTCAATAGGAATTTTTTTTTCTTGTAAATATTCCACCATTTTCAACTCACTTGGTAATAACAAAAGTAAACTTTCACCTCCTTTATAATACCTAGCAGTTCGTCCTACTCTATGAATATAAGTTTCAACATCCTCAGGACAGTCGGCTTGCACTACCCAATGGACTTCGGGAAAATCCAAACCTCTAGCAGCTAAATCTGTAGCAAAAAGTACCGCCGATTTTTTCTTACAGAAATCTTCGTAAATTTGCATTCTTCTCAACTGGTGCAGGGTACCGTATAGAGGCATTAAACTTAAACCAGGCCTAAGTCTAATTGAAACATACATTAACACTGGAAGCTTCAAACAAAATAATAAAAACTTACTTTGAAAATATTTCAAAAAAATATTTCACTTGTTTGCAAGTTGAAAAAAATATTATCGTTTTATGTTTCAAATGATTTCTAATAAAACTCCAAAGTATTGAGAGTTTATCTTGAAGCTCACACACAACATATTGTTGCTGTAACTCTTTTGGAGTGGTCATTTCGTTAATGCTAACATATGATGGGTCTTTCAAACTCAACCTGTAAGAATTTTATTATAAAAATATACATCAAAAGTACCTATATTCCAACCTAGCTAAATCTTGTACAGATTTGGTTTGTGTGGCAGAGAACAATAAAGTCTGCCTCTCAGGTGGCAAATTTGCAATTATACCATTCATGGTTTCCTTAAATCCCATATCTAAGCACCTATCGGCTTCATCCAACACCAAAATTTTCATCGAAACACAATCAAAAAGTGGATTTTCGTCCATGTGTTGCAACAAACGTCCTGGAGTGCATATAATAATGTTACATTGATCCATACGTTTTCTTTCAAACTTTAAATCTTTGCCGCCTATAATAAGACCAGCTGAAAAGTCTTGGTATTTACCGACTCTTTTCAGAGTTTCAAAAATTTGATAAGCAAGTTCTCTTGTCGGTGTTATCACTAGAGCGCCAATACCGTCCATCCTGGTCCATTGTTCGCAATAAAGCCTTTCTAAAATTGGTATAAGGAATGCCAACGTTTTGCCAGACCCTGTTTGTGCTGCCCCTAAAATATCTTTGCCTTTTAAGGCGAGTGGTATGCTGGCTTTTTGAATATCTGTGAGTTTTAGGTATTTTGATTCCTTCAAGGCTTTAATGGTTTTTTGGCTGATAGGCAACTCTACGAATTTTGTTACTTTGCTAGTGTCAATCTAAAATAGTTGAGTTTTTTTAAAATGAAAATGTTATGGAGATTATTGTTACTTACTGTATCATATTGGGCCTTTAACTTTTCAATAACAACACTTTCCGGCGTTGTCTTGTTTTTATTCTTAGTGAAAACTTTAACTTTGGGCTTTTTCTTAATTTTGGAATTAGATTTCGCTGGTTTTTCCATTTTCTTTCCAAAATAAAGGTCCTATTTTAATAAAATTGTGAGAGCATGTAGAAAAACAGCAACAAAAAAGTGAGGTTAGAGTTCTGTAGAGAAAGTCAGCTGTCAAAAATCAAATGGTTCAGTTCGACCAAGGGGCGCGTTCACAGTGGTTTATCCTGGGTAAAACTTAACCAGGTTAATGCCCGTATGCACCATTACACAAATTCTCTGATTAAACTTTAGCCGTGATCACATAATATTTTTCGTATGCACCAAGCGTTTTTTTCGCCTAATCGGCAATTAACTTAAATCGCTCGATGGCCTGGAATTTAGGATAACCGGGGCTATAATGAAATGAGGTTAGAATGTTTTGATTTGTTTTTACATTTTAATAGTTATTTATGTATCAAGGGAATTATGCAGGTGTTAATACCCCAGGGCAACGTTTGTGTCCCGAGGGCCTCCGGCCCGAGGGACACCAATTGCCCGTGGGTATTAACTCCTGATAATTCCCGTGGTACATAGATAATTTTATATCCTACTGAATTTACTGTATTCTGTCTATTTTTATAAAGGAATAAGCCATAAATCAAAATTTCTATTTTTTGTCAAAGTGTTACCTATTCAAGGTAAAAGCGGGAGTTATGGAAATCCTTAACTCCCTTGGGAGTTATGATATCCTTAACTCCCTTCCTTAACTCCCTTGGGAGTTATGAAAATCCTTAACTCCCTTGGGAGTTAAGACCCTGTTTATGATTATCGTAACCAAGGTATTATATGGTTTTAATAGTTCAGTAGGATATAAAAACATTTTTGTCCCCAAAAAATTACTGGAAAAATAGTGTGTGGCGAGGGTGAGCAGGGAGAAATCAAATAAGGAATATGGAGATGGACCACCTATTATTTGACGAGGATTTGGATACTGATAAATAATGATTGTGTTAGATGGGCTTCCAACGCGTTGGAATGAGACGGAAAATTATTTTGAAGCCTTGGATGGATGATCTTATAAACCAATAGTCGTAGATCTTCCTGAAGAGGTGGAAGATACCCTAACTTAACTTATGATAGGGTGGTAGAATTATATGCAATTTTATGGCTTGATTCCAGTAAGTAATGACTATGTAATTACGGTAATTACTGTTTATTTCAAATAAAATGCCCAGGATCACAGCCTCCTACATTTAACAAGCCATGAAGTTAAAAAGGCAACACCGCAATCTTACCGCCAAGTGGTGCTGGTGGTGTTTGTTTGTATAAATATATATTTTTTATTTTATTAATATGGATCACAAAAAATGCATAATTTATTGTACTAAAGGGCCAAAAACAGTAATTCAATGAATAATTTAACTATTTGTGTAAATAAGAACAGTAAATAATTGATTTAAATGAATATATTTCTAGTCTAAAGTGTTGTTTCAGTATGTCTTTTGAAAATCTAACTTTTTCTTTCTTCGGGATTTTTTCGGAAGGCAAGTCCATTCAAATACTTGAGCTGATTTTCGAAAATAAGAGGTACCTGGTACCTACTTTTAAGAGTTGGACGTTTTAGTTTGAACTCTCGAACTACGCCTTTATCCTTGTTTGTTTCAAATCTAATTATTTCGGTTTCTTCAAAATGCTTACAACACACCACAGAATTTTTCGTTATTGTATAATCTCGGGTATAATTATCTTGGTGTATTCCTTTCATCCACATTTTTTGCACTTCAGAATTTTTTTGGAAATAAAAATGTTTGCATTTCTTCAGTTTTTAAGGAACTCCTAATAGTTCGATTTGCACCCAGGAACACAGTAGTTTCATGGCATCTGGAACAAGTTTAAATATCTTAGGTAATATATCGAGACCTATGCTCTTGCAGACAAATATTAATATTGTTTTTATTGTTTTACCTTACCTTACCTTCATTTTTGCTCCTGTACCCATTTGCTAAAAATTTGCAATCAAAGCACAAAGGAACAGGTATCAACTAAATATGGGCAATATATTGGTGTGTTTCTATCCACTTTTTCGTCAATAATGCCCATAAAAATACTAAATTGCAACAATACACAATGAAAGCAATACACAGAAACACATAACCCAATAACAAAATAGCACCATACGCGACGTTGCCGTCATTTCCAATTTCATGGCTTGCTAACAATAGGAGGCTGTGGTATACCTAAAATTTATTCATCGAAAAAAACGCAGATATGGGGTCTCGCCAACCCAAAATTGGCTATTATCAGGGCCAAATACTGGAACTGATCTTCACAGTGGGAACTGATCCACTGCAAAATAAACAGGTCCGGTCCAAGTTCGAGTTCAAGTCCGGACCACTTTTGCGTTGTCTACGTTGTACGGCCTCGGAGTCAAACTCGAACTAATCGGATCACGCCGCGCCGGCCAGTGGAACAGGAAAAAGTGTGGACTCGTAGTAGGGACACAGATTCAGAGACGGAGTACATTACACCGACAGACTCGTTTCGATCAACGGCTCCGGATTGTCGGGATCACGCCGCACCGGTGCGGCCGCTGAAACGGATAGAGTACGAGAGTGAACCGCCGATAGGATATATAGCTGCATTCCAGTATGTAGCTGTATTCCTTTCAAGAGTTTGAAACACTAGAGCTACTCGCTCCGGTGTGTCAACCCGATTTGAAAGGAACAGATTCGCCGACTTTCGTGCATTTATGGTTTACTTTGGGCTTGAGTACTCAGGTGCAACAAACACTTTTCGGAAGGAATAAGCGCGTAACGCCCCGGAGCTGTTCCGGAGCTCCTCATACTATTCACCATTTTCACGTATTTTCGTTATTAGCTAATCACGGATAATTATGTAATCACGGTAAAAATGTCGGTTCGATGCACCAAAGGATTTTGCACTCAAATTAGTTAATTGTGATTTTGTAATGAGGGCCACCTGAAAGGAACTCACCGATAACGTCGCAAATTTCCTATAGATTTTAATAAAAGGCAATGAAAGCCCATTTTGGGTTGGCGGTATGTGGGGTTGGCGAGACCCATTCTGCGTTTTTGTCGATGAATTTTAATTTTATAAACAAACAAACAAAACATCCAGGGCATGTAGGGCATTTTATTTGAAATAAACAGTAATTACATAGTCATTACCTAGTTATTGGAATCAAGAATCAAGTCATAAATTTGCATAGAATGTAGGTACTACACCCTATAATAATGATAGGGCATCTTCTCCCTCTTCAAGAAGATCTATGATCTACGACATTGGCTTATAGATCAGATCATCCAAGGCTTCAAAATAATTTTCCCTCTCATTCCAACGCCTTGGAAACGGAAACCCATCTAACACAATTTCATTATCCAAATTAATCATTGTCAAATTGTCTCTCCACCTCCATATTCCTGATTTCAGTTCTTTTTTTTCCTGGCTCACTTCACACAAATTTGTTCGTTTTTTTTTTTACAAAAATGTTTGTAAAATGTAAATATGAAATTTGAAATCGGAACCAAAACAAACAGGAGGAATTAATTGTCAGACACCGATCCCTATAATACGCATGCGCGATTTGCGACGTTGCCTAATCTACCTTGTCTCCTTGTCATTAAGAAATATTTTTTGGGTTATGTTATTTTTATTTTGTTTTTAATGCATTTGCATTTTTCCAAGATTTTTTCAGTTGGTTCATTGGTTGTGCTTTCCAATCCAGTGATTTTAAAAGTTCTCAGCTAAAAGTTTTGAAATAATCTAAAAATAGAATAAATATGGTTTTACCGTGCGTTCATTGTCAAAAAACTTTCAAATTTCGTAGCAATTTAAATAGGCATCTCCATGTTGTTCATCATGTTGAAGAAGCCGGTCCTTCACGTCCATCATTCAATGGGGTAGCTTGCATTCATTGTGAAAAAATATTTACATATCAAAGTAACTTAAACAGACATTTAAAAACAGTGCATCGATTTGGGAACAAGAACATTGTTTCTTATGAGTTTAATGTCTTCATAAACAAATGTTTTGAATGTAGGCTATCCTATATAAACATAGAACAACTGAGGCACCATCTAACTGATGTTCATTTGAAAACTTTTCCTGAAGAGTCTCTTCAGTTTAATACCAAAGAAGGTAAGTTGTTTTAGTCTGTTGATTTTTTATGCTAGATTCACAAACATATTTTGTTCTTTTCAAGAATTTGATGTCTGGTTAAGAGACACTTGCAGAGCAAGTAATACTCAATATGTTAGACAAAAAACAAGAAAAACCAAAGATTTGGATATTGTGTATTATTACTGCAATCGCAGTGGTAAGTATTTCACTATGATTCTTCCTATTGCTGTGATTGGATATACCTACTGGAGGTTATATTTAATAACAGTGTTGTTCGAAAATTACCTTTGGAAAAACACAAGAATGCAACCAAAGTTCAAACACACTGGTAAATACTGGTACTATGAGTTGTACTGCTCTGATCACTGATGAGATTATGCAATACGTGTGGTTAGAGGTTTTGCTTTATAAAACAATAAAGAAACCTGAATTCTCAATCATTGGTTACTGGCGCTAGTTGCAGACTAGTTTCGCAGTGCAAGATAGGCGAGCACAAAAAATCAGAGAAACAGGTTTAAAATAGATTCAGACCCATTGCATATTCTGATCAGTGATCAGAGTAGTACAACTCATAGTATGAGTATTTATCAATGTTTTTGGAGCTTCGGTTGAATACTTGTGTTATTCCAAAGTTAATTTTTAAACACCTTTTTATTCGACACACTGTCAAGAATTCTTTGATTTTCTGATCCTGATATATATTTAATGTTATCTTTTAGGTAGTATTCGAACTATTCATAATCAAGACAGAAAAAGAACAGCAAAAAGTCAAGGATCTATCTAGTACTATTTACCTTACGAAGGACAACAAAACAGGCTTATGTAATATAAAATATGTAGCTTTACATTATGCTCATGCTAATGAAATTCAGCATTTACGACTTCCAGCTTCTGATCGAGCCGAAATAGCTGAAAAATTGACCAAAGGCGTTTGTGTTTCAAGGTATGTCTTCATTGGTGATTTAGAAAAGTAACCAGGCCTATAATTTGGGTTTGGAATAAGGATGGTTCAAAACAATCAGACAGTTTATCAATTA